AAAAGACGGGGAGCGAAGAGCATCACTGAATCGCAACGTCGCATCCTTTTCCTCTCGAGCAGTCACAAGGGCAAAAGAGGCTCAGAAGTGTTCGAGAGCAGGTACAATCAGATCAAAGCTAGTCTGCAGAGCATCGTGCACGAGTTCCAGTCGACCTATCACCTCCAACTGGACGAGGTGGAGATGACGGAGCAGTCTTTGCACGCAGATGGACGAGAGCGCAATCGGAATGCGAATGGAAAGGCAGGCGAAGAACCTCTACCTCCTTTGAAAAAAGTGGCTCATCTCATGCGCTGAAAATCGAATAGCACCGCACCGCACCGCACCGCTATTCTCCTTTCACTCTGCCCGCCCCGGCGATTGCTTGACGGCGCATCTATACTGATCTGGTGGTAGATATCCACCCTGACAAACCCCAACCTGCCTCGTTTCGCGCGAAATTGAAAGATACAGTCTCACACGTCTGCGCATGGCTCGCGTCGAACGCGAGGTGGACGAGCACTTTGATGCCGATGGGCGGCGAAGCGAAAGCGAGCGGAAGTGAGACAGAGGTACCGGAAATCACGCCTTTCCGATTTGTGCAGCCTTCGACATGGTATTTTAGCGCTTGACCTCTCGAGCGAGGGACGATATTGAACACGCATGCACTTCAACATTGTTCACTGTGGCTGCTGCGATGGTGATCGTAGCCAGCATACGAGAACGAGTGCGAGGATTGCGCTCGAAGCCAGACAGGAACTGCATGCGCGTCCGAGGTACACTCACCTCGTGAATCAGGTCGATGATGTGCGCACGGCACGGCACGCAACAGATCCAAATATGCCCGCCCCTACGGACCGAGCAGACCGAAACCTTTGATTGCGTGACTTGTTTACCGGTACCTGTACGAGGTATGAGCGGTCCCTTGACATGGTGGCATCTGCGCATCAAGTCAAAGATTTGCACCATGTCTGCTCAAATGCAGGGACGATAGTGATGGCAGCCTTGCGTTCGTACAGAGAGTCAAGTCAGAAGCATGCGGTATGCTCTGCTATTGCTATGGCTGGCTCGGCACGAGGTACTGAATGTCCGGGCAGACAGGGGACATCGAGACCAAAACACCAGACGCGTCATTTACGGTCAAAATGTCGACGTCGTGATCGACTGGGGACATGAGCGAGAGAGCGACCAAGTCAAAATTCTCTACGCGAGTTCAAAAGGCAGAACCGTTGGAGGGGCGAGACGGAAGAGAAAAAAGAAAAAAAAACGTGAGAAAAAGCCGCAGGAAGCTGATTTCGTTCATGATTGGCTTTTCTTGTCCTCATTCGCACCATTCCACCGTCATCCCCCAACAAAACGTCCCAAGATGCTCTGCCTCAAGCCCCTTTTCATCCTCTTTGCCTTCAATGTGGCCCTTGCCTGTTGCCTCCCAGCGCAAGCAGCGCCCCTCGACTCTCTCGCAGCTCGCGCACCCGAACGTGCTGCGGACGAGTTGAGCAAGTTGCTGGAGATCGCTACGGATGGCAAGCTCGTGCCCTTCAAGCTCTACTATCAAGGCCAAATCGACGTTGGGTGAGTGGATGGCGCGGGGAGGGGGCAGCAGCAAAGCAGGTTTGCGACCCTCGAGCGCACCCGCGGGCGGGCGGTCCCATCAGAAGCTGACTCGCTCAAGGCTCTCTTTTCCCCCTTTGTGCGCATCATTCACATTTGGCTTACCTTACGCCAGCGAGCCATTCACAAACAGCACGCAGTTCCACGACCTCTGGAACTCCATCAACAACATCACCCTTTGGATGGATGAGAAGCCAGGATTCAAAGTGCTTGGCGCACGCGCCTTGCAGGTCCTCGGACACGCTCACATACAAAATTATCACTTTTTCGCTACGGACCTGATCAAGGATGAAGTGTACATCAAGGTTCGCGCTGCCCTGCACGATCTCGGTCTGTTTCAGGAGGTGTCCAAGCTGCTGAGCGTCTGGCAAGCCGTCGTTGGCGAACTGATACCCTCAGTGTGAGTCGCTTGGGGGAGAGGGGCGGACGGGGGTGTGACAGCATGCCTCATCGTACCTGCTCTTTCGTGCTCTTGCAGTCCTACCGAAGACCCAGCTAGCAAGGATTGGGTAAGCAAGCTGAATGGCATCGTCGCAGATCTGCAGACTGTCGTAGACAAATATGATCCGACGTGAGTCGCTTCGTGTAGTTTGTTCCGAGTGCCTCCCCCCTAGACTGAGTGCGGCACCTCCTGCCTCTTTTCCTTTTCAGCAAAACTCTCCCTCCCCTCGTCAGCGGAGGAACGTGGTGATCCGATCGTGCTGTCGCCGCCACCTTCGCGCATCTGCTCACAACCATGCAAACGAATAGGTGTTGTTGCTTGATGAATAAGGCGTGATCATCGAATATACCTATTCAAAAACTTTTTGTGAAACTCGGAGCCTGTGCATGGGCATTGTCAGCTTGGCGGCGCTGTCTGAATGCGCTAGAGGCAGGCAAGACTCACGAGTGAGATCGTTGACAAAGCTGCTCTTGTCGCCGCCGTCGTTACCAGCAGCTCTGAAGATGCAACATGTGAGATGAAACAGAATCAGCGCAGTTTGAATCCTGCGCAAAACGGCACTGCTCACTGATTCTTGAAGATGACATCGTCGTCCCACCTCCTCTTGACGCCAAAGCTAGGTTGAGCGCTGCTTGCCTTGCTTGCGCCACCTCCTTTCATTGCGTTCTCTAGATTGAGCAATGGATTGCCCAGCGCAATTTCATCCTCTCTCGCATCCTGAGCAGCAGCATTCTTCTCTGCCTCTACTCGGGCCTTTTCTTCTGCCCGTTCGCGCTTGATCTTTTCCAGCTCTCGCATGAGCGCAGCTGTCTCGTCCTCCTCATCAGAATCAGAGTCCGAGTCCGAGTCAGAAGTGGACGAGTCGCTGTCGGAATGGGGATGGGAAGCGCAGTGAGCGCAGCTGTAGGTGCGCCATGTCATGCGTCGCTACGGCGACTCACCTTCCATCTTTGCCCTTGCCATTCTCATCCGCCTCAGCCGCACTCTCTGAATCACTGTCTGCGCGCTCCAGGCTAGCAGCAGCTTCTACCATCTTGCGACGCTTTGCGGCCTCTTCGTCAGTGTTGGCATGCTGCTCGATTGCCATTGGACTTTCAGCTTGCCCCCTCTGCCCCTCCACCTCCTGCTCGTCCCGATCCAATTCACCAGCATCCTTTCGCTTCTTGTCCCTCGCCTGCCTCTCTGCTCTTTCCAACTCCAGCTTCAAGTCTCGCCTTTTGGCCGCATCCATCTGAACATCGCTCGTCGTACCGCTACCCGAAGCGTACCCTTGACCTGCTGTCCTGAACTTCAGCCGAGTGTGCGCTGGCATCTCTTGCGCGTTGTACACCTTGGTCAGGTGACGGACGTCAGCCCTGCCGGCCTTGGGCGCCCATTGCGGAAGATGCGACATCCTGAAAGAGGTGGTAGCCTGAGCGAGAAGCTTGGATGTGGTGGTGGCGATAGTAGCGTTTGTGAACTACAGGCGCAAGTCGGAGCGTGGACCTACGCAGGTGATACCATGCGACCCGAAGTGGAGTGCGGCAGGGTGAAGGGCCACGTGGATCAGCAAGTCACGTGATCTATCTCTGAAAGATGATAATTCCTCGAGTCGTGTCTGGTGCCTGAACTATGCAGAGTGTTGTCCTGGGAGGGGAAGTTGAGGAGGAAATGTAATCAAAAGTCGGTGATGGCGACCGCGCCAAAAGTCGTGATCATTCAACACTTCCGTCTGCGATGCTTGCTTGCTAGCCGAGCAGGAACGTTGCGCCGTTGCTGCTGCAGATCAAGCAGAGGCTCGCTATACAGTAAACGGACAGACGAAAATAGCGTGGCGCCTTGGCTTGGACGCTGCGAGTCACGCGCGTCGTTTCTGCAGCAGAAGGAAAAGAAAAGGTCGAAGCGCGTTGCGGAAGCTGGCGCTGGTGCTTCAAGCGAGGTGCGCGCCCCGTGTGATGGTGCCATTGCTGTTTGAGAAGAAACAAAGAAGGTATACGCGGCGGGTATACCTTGCAGCATCCATCCAGCCGACCCATCCATCCAGCCAACGCGCGCACGCTCCAAAGCGACCTGGCGCGAAGGTTGGGTCGGTCAGCTATATAGCACGCGCGGTAGGCAGCATATGCGATGCGGTGCGATGCGGTGCGGTGCGTGCGGTGCGCCTTCATCGGGATTGGGTGCTTGGAGTAGAGGGGCCGCGAAGGGACGCGAGCAGCACACGCCATGCATCGCCGGCTCTCAAAAAATGCCGCGATTAAAGATTGGTTGTATAGATTTGATTTAGCGCCGGCGGTCATTTGTTCGAGTGTTGCTGGCCTTCGTGGTCATGTTGAATCCCTCAATCTTTAATCAGCCTTTTCATTGCTGGCTCACAATTTGAATCCATTTCGAGCAAGCTTGACACTCTTGACTACTTTGCTCCTTTGGGTTCATGCAACTCATTGTCTGAGCGATCCTTGATTATCATTCAATTGAACATGCGACTTGCTTCAAATCTGTGTCTGCTTCATTCAGCCAGCGCCAACCTTGGTCTTTTTCTCACAAGTTTGTAGAGGTCCACGCTTACCTTGAATTCGCAACGCTGATGTCGTGGCATGGGAGGCAACGCAGCCCTCGCTGGATAACGGTAGAACGGAAGCGGTTGAAACGGCGCTTCGCTCTAGGATGCTGGTGCGAGCGGGTCGATCTGTAGAACGCCGCCCCTATACACAGCGCTCTGCCGCCGCCATCGATCAATCTGCTCCTTGTGCGCGGCTGTTGAATGCAGGCGCATGGCGTCCATGCCTTCCTGCTGCGCATGCGCCCATGCGATGCGGCGCACCAGCAGCGCGCTCGAACGCGTGTTTGTTTTTTTTTCTTCTGCATGCCCCTGATGCATGGATGTATGCGCTGCCTGCCTGCCTGCCTGACCGACCAACCGACCGCCGACCCCGTATACATGCGTCTGCACGCACGGCTGGGCCAGCACGTAGTTGGAGTCAGGAGTAGTGTGAGTCGACGGCCCCCGCACAGTCTGCTTCAGCACGCAAGCCCGGCCGCCGCCGCGCGTTCTTTTCGCTTGGTCGGTGACATTATTTCGCGCTAGTAGTCGTGATGTGAGTCATGAGTGCTGTATCGTCAACGGTGGGCGAGCACCCATCCTCGCGCTCGATGAACACCTACATAGAAGCAGCCACGCAGCTGGCATTGAAATTTCGATTTACCTCAAATTTGAATTTGTAACTTTGATTTTCGTGTAATTTCAAGTCCTCCCAGCAGCTAGCCGGGCCATCAGCAGCGGATTACGTGTGTTGCGCGAGGCAGGCAACTCACGCCGCTTGGCCCAGACTGGCGCGCATCCTCAAGCCTAGGAGCACACATCGACCCTGAATTCGTGCCTCCTCGCTCTTCAACAGTCTTTCTAACCTCACATTCACCGTTCGCTGACGGGACTCCTTTCTACTCACGCATTCTCCACACGCACCCTATCCTCCTTCTCTCTCTCTCTCTCTCTCTCTTTGGACATTTGGCCATTCGTCTCGTCTTTTCTCTCGCAGTCCGCGAACCATCTGTGTTCGAGTAGCGCGATCCAAGGACCAGTCAAGTCGTCGAACCACCTCCTCGCAGCTCCCTCAGCCCGCTGCCTTACCCCTCATTCACCGATTCACGACGACCGACGACGACGATCGACGACGACGATCACCGATTTCCACGCTCATTGCCTGTTGCCGCTTGCTCATCACCCACCACACTCTTTTTGCTAGCCATCGCTGCATCCTTCTGACCCTCTCATCGCTTCCAACAGAGCGCGCCGGCCATGTCGCCGGGTGCTCGCAACCTCTCCAAGAGGCTCAAATTTGCGGCAGCCAGCGCTTGTGCTGTGCTCGCATCCACCGCCACCACCAGCGCATCGGCATGGGAAGTGCCCCCGATCGATTTTGATGGCCTGGGTCAGCTTGGTGTCGCTGGTAGCTTTTCCGGCATCCAATTGTGGAATCAGTCGACGTCCACGCTCACACAGCAAGGCGCATTTAACGTCAGCGAAGGGTCGTTGATCGCGCTGGCTGCCGATGGGAACCTCACCAAGATTGCATCGACGAATCAAGGTGGCAGCATCAGGGCAGTCTGCCAGAGGACAGCGGAGCCGTTCACTGTGTTCGTCGGTGGTAACTTTAGCGACATCAATGGCACGCGCGTCGGCAACGTGGCCAGCTTCGACCCTGCTACGCAACGATGGGACGCGCTTGCTGGTGGTATCGACGGGCTGGTGAACACGCTGTACTGCGACGAACAACACGGCACCGTCATTGCAGGTGGTACATTCTTGGGCCCCTTTCGTCCTCGCCCCGACCAGGCTGCTCGCTTCCTCGGAGGAGTGGCCAGTTGGTCATACACTGGGGATGTGTGGTCCCCAGTCAGCTTTGGTGGTGTCAATGGAACCGTAGAGACCATCGCGCTCGGGTCCAACGTCTCGAGCATCCGCGTTGTGGGCAACTTTACCACCGAGTACAGCTCCCGATCCAGCCCCAACGCCAGCTTGTCAGGCACCAACACCTCCGCTTCTAGTCTCACACAGGCCCTCTCACCTCTGCCTCTCGGTCAGAGCGAGTTCTCGGGTGGCCCCTCTTCTGCTGTCGCTGCGTACGCCAACCCAGCCCAGCTCCTGTGTCCACGCGGTGAGGATGGACCCAACAATTCGTACCACTTTGCAGACAATGCCGTGGGTCGTTTGACGCTGCGAGCGTTCCGCAGCCTGCAGACGCGCGCCATCCGCATCGGCAACACCTTTGTCGATGGAAGAGGCACCCGCACATTCGGCGTCGTCTCGATACCCGACAATACCGACCTCACCCTCATCTACCTTGACCCGCTCACCCAGCAGAACGTCACCTGTCGAGGTAACTGCTCGCTTTTCCACGACGCAGCAGTCGCACCTTACCAGGACTTTTTGATCGCAGATGTGCCCGAGAATGGTGCTGTCAATGGTACCAAGCTGCTCACTGGCATCCAATTCACTGCAACGGAATGGTACGGACCGGGTGCTGGTCTGCACAGCTTGTCGCTCCTCAGTCAAGGCTCGTTTGCATACGCTTTCAACGGCTACAACCGTGGCGGCTGCAGCTCAACCCAGCCCGGCGTCAACGGCACCAGGTCGAGCAGCACTTCAGAGGGAGGTTGGTATCGCACGCACGTTCCAGAAGTCGGCGTTCCAGCAGTCGTGTCACCAGTGCTGGCCATCACCGACCGGACCGCGAACTTGCCCCAAAACGTAGGCTCGAGCGTCACCTGGAACGTCGATGCGCACTACAATGGAAACTACAGCGTCTTTTTGAGCGTGCCTGGTTGCACTGCCACCAACTCTTGCGACACGCGGACCGATGTCCAAGTGACCGTGTTCGGAAACAACACTGCGGGCGACGGAGTGAGCACGTTTGTCAGCCAGAACGTGCCTGACGACACGCAAATCCTCGTCTACGATGGCGAGATCATGAAGAGCGCAGGCGGCTTTGTCCCTACCGTGCGGCTCTCCATTCCGGGCAACGCCACGCGACCAGTCAGCGACACCTTCAACGTCATTGCCGATCGCGTGACTCTTAATCTGCGATCGTCGAACGAGACTCATCCCATGTTCGAAGCGAGAGGATTCGGCATGCTCGAATACAACGTGTTCGACACGCGCGATGTGCCACAATTCAACGCTACGCAGATGCAGACAAACCTCACTTTCAACGCCTTTAGCAACTTTGGATCGGTCCTGCGCTCCAACGGTGTCGCCGCCAACGATACGATGGGTCAGATGATTGTTACTAGCAGCGTCACCAACCGCGGCTCTACATTTGTGGGCGGCAACTTCACCTCTCTCAATGCTAGCGCCACAGTTGGATTTGCCAACATCGTGTCTTACACCAACACATCTGGAGGATCCAACTTCACACGTCTATCTGGTGGAGGTGTGAATGGGCGTGTGTCGAGTCTCAGTGTCGTCAAGGATCACCTTTTCATTGGTGGAAACTACACGTCCACCTTTGACAACATTACTCAGCTGCCGTACGTCGCCGAATACGATGTGATCGGCAGCAAGTGGATCCCTCTGGCTGGTGGACCCGATGGACCGGTGGAAACTCTGACTCCGCTGCGAGAAACGTTCTTGCTGGTTACGGGATCCTTTGAGTCGCTCAACAAGGGTGCAGTACCGGCGGGCGGATATGCGATCTGGGATGTCATTGCCAAGAAGTGGGTGCCACAAGAGCCGTTCCTCGTCGGTAACGTTCTGGCCGCTAGCACACCGAGCAACGCCTCTGGCGTGGCGTATCTGGCAGGTGCCATTGGCGGCATCAGCAAAGACTCGGCGTCAGGAGCTGTGCGCATCATTCCCCCAAACGATGATGATCAGTTGCCAACCATCGACACGCTCAACTTCCGATTCGAGAGCACCAGAGCGACGTCTAACATGCTGCCTGTTCCTGCAGCGCCTGCTGCAAGTTCTTCGGCGTTGGCATCGGCCCCTTTGAGTTCTGGAGCTGCTCCTCTCTCCAGCTCAGGCGCTGCACCCACGAGCTCCGGAACTGCAGCACCAGCAGGTGCGCCGACATTTGCCAGCGATCTGATCTTTAGCAAGCGCACCGACGATGCTCCTCAACCACGGTCCACCGGCGGTCATCATCATCACCACCGTCATCACGGCAACAGCTTAGAAGAGCGCAGCGGGACGTCGGTATCGCGGTGGCTCTCTTGGAACGCTCGGAGCAACCAGCAGGGCGGCCCGCTCGTCTCTCTCTCGCGTCGAGCGTCTGCGATGGAACCGGCCATCCTTGCAACCAACGGGGAAGACGAGATCATCTCATCGGCATTCTGGAAGCGAGGCAACAACGACTTCGTCTATGTGCTCGGAGGCAATTTCACCACCGATGCCGGCATCAAGAACTTGGCGTACTACGACGAGAAGACGAATTTGTTGAAACCCTTCCCGGCTCTGCCACGTTCTTCGAATCTTACCGTCGTTCGCGCCGTCGCGGTGGACGGGGACACGCTGTATGCTGGAGGCGATGGCGGATTGGCCATCTTTGACTTCAAGGCCAACACGTGGTCCAGCAATCTGGCGGCCCTGCAAGCGACTTCGCGCAACGTTCTCAGCGTGCAGGCAATCTACCACCGACCCGAGTCTAGCACCATGATTATTGCGGGAACTTTTGACGAAGCTGGCAGCTTGCCTTGTAAGAACGTCTGTGCTTGGGACACGGGATCCCGCAGATGGAGTCAATTGGGTGCTGGCATTGATGGACAGATCTCGGCGATCGACTATGCAGGAGTGAGTTTGACTTGCGAGCAGCGCCACGGCTCGCATGCTGATCCTCTCTCCTTTGCTTGCAGAACCACGCGTCCTTGTTGCTTGTGGCGGGATCGATGACGGTGAATGGCGCCGAAGCATCGCTTGCCCAATGGGACTTTGAGGCCATGACATGGACTGCCCTTGGCAGCGTGGGAGTTGCCGGTGGCGAGATTCCTGGTCCTGCAACTGCGCTCAGTGTGGACGACTATAATCCCAGATCCATCTTTGTCGCCGGTCGCACCACCGATGGCAGGCGCCCGTATCTCGCCAAGTGGAACGGTCAATCGTACGATTCGCTTGCGCCAGGCGAGCTGCTTCCGGACTCTGGAATTGCTCAGCTCTCCTTTGTTGGTATTACGCGCGCGCACCCAGACAACCCCGTGCTCGAAAATAACCGCATGCTCGTCGTCTCTGGCGCGCTCCTCATGCGCGACTTTGGAAACGTCTCGACTGCGCTGTTCGATGGACAGCTTTGGACGCCTTACTTGCAAGCCACCTCGCCATCCGGCGGATTGGGAGTGGTGCGAGCTTTCACTCGCAGCAACGAGATACTTAGCTTCCCCAACTTGCACCACCTTGCCGTTGGCATCGTGATTCTCATCTCGATTGCTATTGGTCTGGGCATCGTCTTCCTCCTTGTCCTCATTGGTTTGATCTGGGCGCTGAGCCGAAGACATCCCAATCGTGGGGTGGATGTGCCGATCTCTCCATCAGACGATACGCTCGCCATGGCAGGAGGTGCGGGTGCAGGAGAGAAGCGTGCCCCCAGCGAACTGTTGGCCACGCTCAATGCTGCCACGGAAGGTGCGATTGAGCAGCGTGGCGCAGATTCAGCCGGCTACGCTGCTGCTGGAGCTGGCGCCGCTGGTGCGGGAGCGGCAATGGCAGCATCCACATCGCACGGACATAATCGACAAGAGTCGTCTGCTGCACACGGGGGAACGTTGGAAAATAGCGACGAAACTGCTGGAGCGGCTAGCACCGCTTACCACTCTGAACGGACTGGCCAGTCGGCCTATTGGAGCGGCGAAGAAGGCAACCCGGCTGCGGAAGCTGCTGCTGGTGGTGCGGTGGGGGCGGGAGCGGCTGCGACAGGCATAGCGTACGGAGGATTGGACGAAGTGGCAGGGCCTGGAGAAGGCTTGGAGGCTCACGCGAGATATTCGTTTGAAGCGACACATCCCTCGGAGCTTGCTGTGCATGCTGGTCAGACTATTTGGATCTTGGACGATCAGGACGAACATTGGTGGTTGGCAAAGGACGGACAGGGCAATAGCGGGGTGTTGCCCGCTACATACGTCCTCTAGCATTACGATACGTGCGACTTGATCGATACCCACGCATCATCGTACGGCAGCAGAGCAATCAATGCTCTCTCCTTCCGCAGCTTAAACATACACACGCTCTTTTTTCTTTCACTTTTGAGACCAAAACAGACACACCCTTTCTCCCTGCACCTCTGTTAATTCTCTTTTCTTCTCCTTTTTCTTCGAACTTGACAGCTAGATTGAATCTCTCTGCCCAATCTCACACGTTTTTTTGATAAATCTCTTTCTGGAGAATCTAGATTCGGTTTCGAGCAAGGGTGCTGCTGCTGTTGTCCGAGTGCGCGCCGTGTGAGATGTGTTCTGCAGTACCGGTACGTACCTGAAGGCATACGTATACGTACTGTACATGGGCAGAAGGGGCGACCGCGGCTCGCCAAGCTTACTTGTCGCTCAGGTGTGGCTTGATCGCATATATGCTGCCAAAGGAACCGGCCGCCACCGGGCGAGCTCGGAAGTGGGTGGGTGCGTGCATGGCCCCGATTCAGCACCTGCGAGCGGGCGGGCGTCGCGTAATCGTCAATACTCGATCACCTCACACTCACCACTCACCACTCAAACTGTGCGGGCGTCCCCGCACGGCGATGATCAAGTGCATATACCGCCCGCCGTGCGCGACGCGACACAGAGCCGGAAGCGGAAAGTCAGCAATCTTGAATCGTGAGTGAATGTGACTTGAGCGTGAGCCAGGCCGCATGGCAGCAGCAGCAAGCAGCAAGCGTTTTTCGCAGGGGACGTGGCTTTGCTTTGCTTTGCTTCCACTTTCACTTTTCTTTTACTCCCGCCGTCACACTATACCCATACCACTCCGCCCCTTGTTCCCCCTCTCCGCAATCACATCCAACGTTCATCTTTACAACCACAATCCTTTGCTTGCAACTTTCTTTTTTCTCATTCGGCTTGTAGCCTCACCTTTGTAACACTCTCACAACCTTGCGGCCCACAATCGGTCACCATTGTTCTTTTTGGCCCTCGCACAGTTCGACCATCCATCCATCCACCTACTTGCCTCTGTCTCTGTTGCCATTCGTATCGCCCCACGGTGACGGCGGTATCCACGATACCGAAATGGCGCAGCTGCAGGCTCCAGCTCCTCGTCGACCCATCGCGCTGCTGCGAAAGAGACGAACCTCCTCTCATCAAGCGCGAGCCCTTCACTCGGGCTCGATCGCAGACGCGACACCATCGAGCTCGAGCACGAGCACGGGAGAGAACGAGGTGCGAGCAGACGCACAGCCGGACGAGGAAGAGGATGGGGAGAATCGGAATCGACCTGTTATGAGGCAACGAAGGAGCGCAAGTCCTGTAGCCGGCTCTCACCTCGCTCTCAGCGCAAGCACGAATCACGCGGATGGCACACCTTCGCGTCATGACCGCGACAGGCTCTTGAGTGTGCCCCTGGCCAGATCGCACGCAGCAAGCAACGAAGGGTTGGGCACACCTCGAGCACCAGCGCTACAATGGGTTTCCAGCCCTATTCCCAGACATTGGACACTCAATCCACTGGCTCGAGGTCGCGCTGGTCAGGAAGGAGGGGACGAGGAGGCGATGATGATGATGATGACGCCTTCCAAGCACGACTTGCCGTTAGATCCATCCGCAACACCCGCAGCGGCAGCGCTCGTCAAGCATTTGTGAGCGCAACAAAGAGGCGCCGCAGAATCCATGTGCGCCAACATCGTGACCTTTTGCAACGAACCCAGCTTTGGCACCCAAGCACGAGGTCGCTCGCCCGCCGCCGACGCAAATGAGCGCCTCAAGCATCACGCTTGGCTGCCTCACACTTTTGCATCCGACGAAACCTTTTCGCATACTCATTAGGCACGCCCTCGGGTTTACATTCATGTGCCGCTTCTCGTTCGACACCCAGCAATCTCTCCCCAACTCCATCATGCGAGTGCGCCAAGTCGCGATTGTCACCCCACTCCGGAAGCTTCACCATCTGCCTTCGAAGTTGCTGAGAGCGGGAGCGTAATTCCACACGCCGGCTTGGCTCAGCACATTGACGACGAAGAAGCGCGGTCTTCCAGCCTCGCGCGTGCCAGTAGCTACGACGACGCTGGTTTGACCGGCCTAAAAGAGAGGATAAGATGGTCCTCTCATCAGCATACACCGTCTCATCTCGCTTCGCTTTGGGTAAAAGGGAATCTTTCGACTTACATTGACGCGCTGACCTCGAATCGTGGTGTAGTACGGCGTTTCTCCGGCGCCAGAGGTGTAGGTCTGGTAGATGATGTTGTAGCTTGCAGCACCAGTCACAGCGTTCCATCTGACTTCGTAATCGCCATTACTGTTGATCCTTCTGGCGGAAGTGATGGGTGCTTGACCTGCCTTGCTTCCTCCACGAACGACGTTGATGGGTCTGGACTTGAACCAATTTCGACCATTGCCTGCGCACGTGGCCGTCAGTGTCTGAACGACGTAGAATTGGAACTGCACCGGAGCTTGACCGTTGCGGCACACGTTGGTAAAGTCGTGCACGGAAATGTAATCCCTACAGGCAATTGTGTTGGAGAAGGATGGAGAGAGGGAGCGGGTTGTCTATGATGCTATTAGCAACTCACGCCATGCGCTGCCGCTGCTGCTGCTTCGATGGGGCCATTGCGCGCCCACCACTGCCATTCTATTCTCTCACTCACCCGCGCGTCCTGTCTTGACGATAATTCTGACCGCCAGTGGTGGTGTAATCTGGATCGCTGATGGACAGCTTGCCGAAATCGCGAACAGGTGTTTGTCGAACGCTGTTACGGTGGTGTGGAGAGGGGTGCACACGCAGGCGATGAGAAGCTTGCACTTTGTGAGGGGAGGGGGACACGGCACGACACGACACGATACGCCGAACGCCCGCTCGCTTGCTCGCTTCGCGCATACTCACCGACTTCCATCGGCATAAAGAGCATCAAAGGCCCAATTATAAACGACGGCGCGTCGATCGCGCAGCATGGACAGTTGAGCGCTGCAGTCGTCGAATACGCGCGCTGTGAAATCGGCGGGTGGATAGGTGCTGCAGTACTGAGATGAGCTGTCTTCTCGCCATGTGAACGAGTACTTGGCATCGTTTGGGTCCAATTCTCTCTTGGATAGCGTGGTGGCGGGCGCGCCGAGCGTCGAGCTGCTGAGCAGGGTCAGTGCGGAGGCCAACGCGACGGGAAGAGCCAGTGAGAAGCGCATGATGGGCAGGAGTTGGGTGTGTGTGTGTGTGTGTGTGTGTGTGTGTGTGTGTGTG